ACATACACTTTAAAATACATTTATGCAAGTTTTATGTGGAGTATGTGATAAATCAATAAACTTTTTAAAGTTTCACAAATTTAACTTTATTTACATAAAATTAACAAAGAACTCAAACATTTTTTGCACACTGTACCTATTATCAAAGGAAGATTAGATTACAATCTTATGAAAGTATTAGGTAAGTAAAAATTTCCCCTATTCACAGACATATATGTATATGCATATGTGTGCGCATCAAACGATTAAAATTTGCGACAAAGCAAACACCGCTTGGAAACTTTTATTAAATACAAAAAAAAACCCACACAGTTAGTTAACATTTTTTGATAAACACGCTAAGCCCATACGATTATTTGTTTATTAGCAGCGATGAGAAGAGCTTGTCAACACACAATAACTACCACACAGTGTATGCATGTTTATGTAAATGAAAATGAAATGATAGACAGATCTCAGAATTTTGTGCGAAAAAATTCAGTGTGAAAGTAGAAATCCGAGATAAGCATGAGTTCGGCCATGACAGATGTTTTTTTTCATTACTATTTGCACGGGATTATTAGTATTGTTTACTACAGAATTGTGTTTATTTACGGAAGCCTATCTGACGGATTTCAAATTTATCACTCAGTCATGCTGTTGTCGACAAAATTAAAAAAAAAAAAACATTTATACTATATAAGATGCATTTAACTGACGTCACCTTCTAGAAGCTTTAGTAATAACTATGGGGCTAGCAGGTTTTCATGGCAAGATCTAGATTCGAATGACTGACCTTGATGGGAATTTATCACATTCAAAGCGCTTCAATGGCAGCCTGAGTACCTGGGAAGATACATAGCTACTGCTGGCAGATTAAGAGAAGAATGGATCAGCCACCTTGCAGCTTTCCACCGCCTGACTATGACGAGGTACGAATAGCGATTACACGGCTAAAAAACAACAGAACTGAACACAGAACTGAACCGCTCAGGCGCAATACTTTACAAGAGCGAATAATCGCTGGCTTATGCCGATGACATCGACATTATCGGTAACAAGAACCGTGAAGTCTGTTCTGCCTTTTCCAAGTTGGACAAGGTAGCAAAGCGATTGGGTCTGGTGGTGAACGAGGACAAAATGAAGTATCTCCTGTCATCAAACAAACAGTCAGCGCATTTGAGCCTTGGCACCCACGTCACTGTTGACAGTTATAATTTCGAGAAAGTAGAGAATTTCGTTTACTTGGAAACCAGCAATTACACAGATAATAATGTCAGCATTGAAATTGAACACAGAATCACTCTCGGCAACTGCTTGCTTGGTGCTACTTAGGCGGTCAGAGCGCCAAATAAGAAGAAGAAGAAGAAGGTGTTATCCCTTAATATATTTGTGCAATGTTGCCACTTATTTTCGTTTCGACAAAATTTAAATACAAAAAATCTATATATGGACATTAAATGCAAGATATTTTTGAGTACAATAATCCGAAAAGTTTTCCAAAAGCGTAGCCACATTTTTTTTAATCACAAATTTGTGTCTGTTTGAAATAATATTCAATGAGCATAAACGGTGCATGTATCGTACATCTTCTAAAGGGACACAACTCAAAATTACACGTTTGTCAGAAAATGCGAAAACCTATTTCCTAGCACATGATAATTATATGGGCAAGAGATACTCTACCTTGGGTTTTTTTTAACAAATTATAACAAACATTTTCTTCAGCCTTTGATGAAAGGTAAATAAAAGCTCTGTGCACATTTTTGGTGCATAATTTCAAAAATGCTAAGTTTTGAGTTGTGTCTCTTTTGAAGCAGTGTTGATATTTTAAGTACAATTGCACTTTTTTCAGTACAATTAGTTTTAAAAAGTACAAAAGTACAATTTACCGACTTTAAGTACAATTTCAACATCAAAAATACTTTTCGTACAAGACGCTGAAATCTCTGCCACTTTGATTATTAATCCATTTGCGTTTAAGTAAATGGATGTAATTTTGAAAGTAAACGTGATTGTGAATGGTAATATTAGTGTTGAGCGTTGTGGTTGCGATTTTTTTTATCACCGGTGGGTGAAATATCCCTCATCGCTATTTATTTTGAAAAAACCTTGGGAAATGCACATTACCTAATGACGATCCTGCAAAAAATGAAGGAATTGAATAACTCGGGGGTTGAAAGTACAAAATTATACGTAAATTTCATGCGTTGAAACTGACAAAGTCAGCTGGTGTGTCTTCTTCTTCCGGTTTTTGCAAGTAATGGCTAATTTCCTGTTCGTTTACTTTTTTTGCTTTTTCATCTCTTTGGGAGAGAATTTTCGCTTACTCTCTTGATTTTGATTGTTGGCTGGTGTTGGCTAATTTTGTTATCGAACGCAAATAAATTATACAGTTACCCGGGTTGGGCAATTTTTTTTTTATATTTTTTCAGATTAATCAACTTTTTTTTATAAATAATTTATGGAATATAATTTAAGAATTTATGTGTGACTTTATGAGCTAATTGTTGGAGAGATCTCAATGATAAGTTAAGTTAAATTAAGTCTACACCCACTTAAGCTGTACAATGAACTGAAAGATAAACTCACTGTAGTAGAAAAAAAGGTGTAAATATGTTTATAAATAAATATGAAAACGGGAGGTAGTGATTGACGGAAATGGTGAAAAGTGCAATTAAACTCAAAAAGTTACAATTTTTGTCGTTAATTTTTTACAATTTAAAAACTTCAAATATCAACACTGTTTTGAAGACGGTGTGCGATATATTAAAAAGCATTTTTTTCTTGTCAGCGAAATTATTTTGTATGTAGTAAAAACCAATTAAATTAAAAACATGCAATAAAATTTCAAAGCACATACCATAATTTCGCGCAAAGCGGTAGATGTACACTAACTTTTCATCTTTTTATAGAATTCTGAAATTTCGATTACGCTAAAATGTTGACAATTTTTTTTTTTATACATATTAGACTGCATCATCAAAAAAAGTTGCGGTTTTTCCACCAGGATTACAAAATGTATTATATTTTAAGACGTCCACCAAAATATTTCGGAAAAATATTAAGATTTAAGTGAGCTGGACCGATTTGAAAATACCTCCAAAAATGTAGTTTTTTATGAATAAAAATAGTTTCTTAAAGAACTTTTTGAAAAAAGTCCCCTCAGATGAGAAAACAGATTAAGCTTAAAAAATCTGCACAAAAATGTTTAAAAATCTTTTAAACGGAATCGTAAGAACGAGATTTTTGATGCTGTTTTTTTTTTACTTTTTTCAAAGAATGATTTACAAAAAACATTAATAACTGAGCCCAAACTATTCTGATTTAGACTTATGGAATCTCAGTAGAAAGGTATTTGCACACAGGTTTTATTTCTGGCCAAAAAAACGTCATTCGCGTCCCATCTTGTTTTTTTCGAATACCAACACATCTTAATTCAACTTTGAATGACGTTCCTACATCCTACCTTTCTCTTTCCTCCTTTGAATGAAAAGAAGAAATAAAAAGGTAGAGAGGTAGAGTCTAAATTGGAAGAGTTTCAGATCAGTTATTCAAGTTTTTGTTATACCAATCTTTAAAAAAGAGTTAAAAAAACAGCATCAAAAATCTCATCATTACGATTCCGTTCAAACATTTTTTTTAATTTTTTTTAATTTGTTTCTGCAAATTTTTTAAGCTTGAGCTGTTTTGTCATTTGAGGGGATTTTTTTTACATCTTTAAGAAACTATTTTTATTCTTAAAAAACTCCATTTATGGACGTATTTTCAAATCAAATTTTTCCGAAATATTTTGGTGGACGTCTTAAAATATAATAGATTTTATAATTCCAATGGAAAAATAGTACCGATATTTTTTTGGATGGGGAGTGATGCAGTCTAATAAACATACATACATATGGGTGTTTCCATAAACAAGTAAACCGAAAATGCAAGTAAATGAGTTCAACCGGCTTTATAACTTTCAATTTAGTATTCAAACGGCGAAAAAAGGTTTTGAGGTTTTATGATTTTCTAAAAATGCAGTTTTATAGCCCATTAAATTCTAGGTTAAGAAAGTGCAAGTTTAAAGTAGCTAAGAATTCTCGTTTATTTTTCACAAAAAGTGAAAAAAGGCCTTTCCACCGAAACCTCACAAGCCTAAAACGGTATAGTTTCGGCCCAGTTATTTAATGGTGATTTCGTTTCTCCCAAAAAATGTTGCCTTTTGATTGCCCCTTTCTCTTTTCATGTTCCATCCTAAATTAAATGCAAAGGGTGAAAAAATTTTGTGTTCGTTTCTTAAAATTGTCACACTCTTTTGAGGCAAAAAGGCACATTCTTTGCCGTGTGAAGCTTTGTCAGGGGAGATGGTTGCCCTGAAAATTAGATGGTTGTTTAAAAGGAGAATATTATGAAATGCGTGAGCTAGACAAGGGCAAGAAGGCAAAAACATACCTTTTTACAGGATTGAGTGCAACATCAAACAAATTTTGCAGCAGGGCGGGGCAACATTTTTTTCAAGAAACGAAGTTACCATAAGTTTTTCTTAAACCAATTTTTGAAAAGGTTAAAAAAAAAAACAGCGTCAAAAATCTAAATTGATTTATGCAAAAAAATGCCCAAAATGTTTTTTAGTTGATCGCATTTTAGATCAAGATGTGCGATATGTATATGTATGTCGTTACCTTAAAAAATTAACTTTTTTTTTTTTTGTTTTTTGTTATTTTTTGGCCATTTAACAATTATATTCAACAATTTTATAATGAGCTCGAGGCCATTTTTAAATGAAAAAATTTATTGTGGAAAAGCATCAACAATTTGAAAAAATGGTAGAAGTGATAGCTATTTCGGAAATCACCACATTTCCTCATCAGACTTCTTTCAGTAGGATTCGAACCGACGATCCCACTGACTCAGCCAGTTGCCCATGCACCATTCATTTAAAAATGGCCTCGAGCTCATTATAAAATTGTTGAATAAAATTAACGTAGGAAATTTACAGAGGTCACGACAAATTCATCTAGGTACTGGGCTTCTACAAATTTCAAATTCGAAGGATAAATTTTGAATCAGTTGATTACAAAAGCCGCTTCAACAAATATCAGGTCCTACAATTTCCAAATGGCTATGCACTCCTCCCCAAAGTATATTTCATTTACATAACTAAAGCGTTAGCTGAACTATTTCATATTAAACCAATATTAGTTTTTTATTATCTTAAGCACCTCTAATAAGATAAGAATATACAAGCCTAGTTTAATTACACTATAACAATAAAAAACAGCTTAGACATTTCTTAAGTTTGCAACATACCAGCGATTACTTTTAAGAATTTAATAATTCTTATCAATGGTTGAAAGCTTAACAATAAAACTATAATACTCATGGAAATCACAAAGAAAATATAATATGCAGCAATAAAGATAGCGCCAACGGATATTGATAAGTATTCGCTAGCAGGTAGTTGTTTATGACTTTACAAAAACACATACCCAAAGAAAGGATCTGTATAGCAATGCTCAAATAGAGTGAACAGCTCACCAACTGTATGGCCTGATTGTCGATAGATTGCTTTTGTGAAATAATTTCGTAAGCGATTTATATTTATATACATTTTATAATGGTAAGCAACTATGTATGGATAATCACTCACATGCATATGCATTTATTACATGTACTACATATCTACATATGTACATACATACATATGTACTGGCAAGTACAATATCAGTTTCCTTCTACCGAATGCCTTAACAGCAAATAATCAGTCAGGCAGACATCAGAAAAGCAAGTAATAGGCACTTTCGAGTCCAACGAGTCATTGATAGTGCTCATATTAAGTTGGCAAAATGGAAACAATACAGTCACGTAGTAACACCCTCCAGCCGAGCTATCACCGGACATGCACTTTGCCCAGTTATATTTATGAGCTCATGCAAGAGATAAGCTGCCCAAATGAAGGCACTGCATTTACACATACATACATATGTACGTGTGCATGCAAAAGAAGCGCTACAAAAGTAACCTCTAACAAGCAAACAAACAAACAAGTTATTGAAATAGTGACTTCTAAATGCATATACGCTCCTTTACATACATATGCATATGTATACGCTGGCCGACAACCGCAAAGGAATCTTGCCGCACACAAAGGTTCTATATATGTACATAACTAACATTTGCCCATTTCCTAAAGTTTTGCGTTTTTAACGCCAGCGCCTTGTGCGGGTGTAATGGCCTCTACGTATTTAAATGTACACGGCAGCAAGGCGTAACCAAAATTGTGCTATCCGCTAGTTACCTTAACAAGTGAAAAGCAACACCTGGCCCTGCCTTTTTACCCCCCAACTCAAACATTTGGCTGACAATCCATGCGAGACGATGATTTCGACCAACTGACCAACTAACATTACATTTTGGCTAGGAAAATACAACACCACCTTACCTCGAATGCTAGTTGGAAGGTTAGTTCACCCTTCCTATTGCTAGCCACAGCTTTTGCAAATGCATAGAGTAATAACTTTTTGCAGCTAAATTAAGGCAAAGGTCGCATTACATACACCAAACTGGCAGATACCAGCGTCCACTAGCTGTACAATATGGTTTCAAAGCGAAAACTAACTGGTGGCTAACTTTGGTTACGAGTATTGTACATACATATGGATTTGCAATACATTCCAGTTTGATGAATACTTACACTCGAAATTCTTGCAATACCTATATCGGTATAAGCGATTTATTGCACCATAGACGCTAACAATTTCAATAACTTATAGATCGGTCGGTTTGGTTTTTATGAACTTAGGTATGTATTTCTTTTTTTTAACAAGTTGCACTATAGATTTTAAGTTTTGCTGTGCTCATAAACTAGACTTTTTTTCTTTCAATAATCAAACGCAGCGTAACACTTTTAACACAAACACATGCCCTTCCTTTTCGTTGAAATGATTTCATGTAATTTTTAACTTTATTTTTTCACTATTTTCCTTCAGAAAAGTACAAAATTTTCACAACAATTTTTCAGTTTTTCGACCCGTGCACAACGCAGAAATTCTTTCGTTTCAACTTCTCGACTTCGTTTGACATTCGCAGTTTTTTTGCTTCTCTTGTTATGACATATTCGTTAAATTGAACGAAAATGGGAATGGTTCGTTCAAAGCAGCAGCGGTGCATTTTTCTGGTCCAAGAAGAAATGTTTTCTTAGCAATATTTTCTAATTAGAAACGTAGGACCCAGTAAATAAACCAAATAAAGCGAAGCGCACATTAGCGCGATTCTATCGTTGCGAATACGTTGCGAATTCGGCTGTTAACTTCGAATCCGCAAACGTGCGCACACTTGTGCGATTTTTTCGCGCCGATTTCCGATGTACAATTCACTCAATTTTCCCTTTATTTCGTGTATTTTCGGACTCGGCGTGCCCAAATCGTACAAAATACTATTATTACGAACGTTTTTATTAGTTTTTGTACATTACACGTTTTTTTTTCTTTGCCTTTATTGCTGTGACACCTTTCTTCTTCTTCTTTGACGCATTCAAAACGCTGCAAGCCGCGTTTCGAACGCGTCAATAGAGAGGAACATTGAATGTTCGAAAAATTCGCAGCGACGGAATCGTGCAAGTGTGCGCTAGCGCATTAAAACGTATGGGTAGCATTGTTGTAATTTTTGGGCTTGCGGATTCGCAACGACAGAATCGCGCCAACCACGATCCAGAAAATAAAGGTCGCGCCATTCGCGGACCGCTAACCCTCTCATCGTCGATTTGACAGCATCCACCCAATCGCTGACGTCATAAAATACTTTTGTTTACATTCACTGTTGCCAACTTAATGCTTTTCGCACCAAATTTAGTGGGTATTCAAAACGCGAACATTTTTGAGTTTGGTGCTTGGTGCGTTTTTGGTGCTTTTGTTTTTAGTTTGAAGACACCAAATTATAAAATCTTAAAAAAATGGAAGCAAAATTTATAGCAATCATAAGCGTGGTAAGCAACTTCACAAAAATTTAAATAAAATCATGGCACAATCATAAGCGACAACAAAATATGTGGCAGCACCTTCAATCAAGCCAGAAGAAATCGACCGTCGTGCAAGAAACATTGGTTTTTATTAATTTGAATCGACATCCTTACAATATAATTATGTATGCATATAAAGTCCATAAAATACACCAATAAATATTTGGTGCCTTTTCAAATTCAAAACCTGGCAATACTGCCTTTTGTTCGATGCTTCCTCTTTTTCTTGTCGAGTTCGTCTTGCTCTCTCATTCGGGTATTTATTGACGTCACGGCCAGTTGGGTCGGTGTTATACAGACAAACTTTTGTTTGCCAAATTAAATGGCGGCTGCTTAGTTTGCTCGGAGGTGGTTATGTCGAGTTTGGCACAGGGTTGCACATTCATTAAGGTGTTCTTACACGATATGTATTTGCATGTGTACATGCCACTTTTTACATATGAAAATGCAAACATAGCGTGTAAAGACAAATTAGATTTGCTACTGTACAAAGCAGATGCACGTACATACGAAATAGAAATGTTTCTATTTTCATCTGACACACAGATAGAATCAGCTGTTCTTTTTATATTTAATTTTCAAAAATTGCTGTTATANCTCAGCTCGATTGGCGCAATCTTGTATTCTATCATTCTTGCGCGCCAATATGCGCTTCGCTTAAGGTGGGACATACATTTTTTGTCCCTGGAAATTAGACATTTTCTTTTGTTTACAATTTGGTTGTCAAACACACTACAGCTGATCGTTTGATACATTTACCAAAACTTGTTTTAATAGGTGCGTTCGTTTAAAATCTCCAGCAGAAACCAACCAACTGCCAAATTCCGGCGAAATGTCATCTGTTCTCTCACAAGAGAGAAATATCCA